CGGTTTCTAACACTATTAGGGCATTTATAGAAAGTTTGATTAAACTGTTTGGAAAGCGGTATTATCAAAAATAGTGAATATAAAGATATGAGACAAAAAATTGTTCCTTAATTTTCGGAATCTGGGATGTCAGATAATTTATTATGGAAGGAGTAGTAGAGATATAAAGAAGGGATAGTGGAGGGTAGAGTCGATTTAAAAGAAAAAAGAAGTTACATCTATGTTCGCGAACGTTTAATATTTAGGGTGCGGGGTACGAATGAATGATGAGGATACCGTGGATAGAGAAGGTTAGAAATGAAGAGTTATTAGAGAGAATAGGAGAACAGATAATTCTATGGAAGTCAATAAGGAATAGGCGAGATAAGTTGGTAGGACACCTTCTTGGTATGAAGGCTTAGTTAAGACATATTGGAAAGAATTAATAGAAGTAGGTTTATACCTAGATTAGATAACTGTTCACAACTAGTGTTCTAGTTTCAAATTTTACAAACAATTCTACAAATAATTCCACAAAATTTCGTCCAAATGTTTACCATACATTCTTAAGAGATTAATTGTAATAGAATTGTTAATAAAATGTTTGTGGCATTTACATACGTATCCAGTTAAATTGACATTTTCATTATTAAAATATGAAGGTAAATCTTTGCCGTTCTACTCTAGCAATTATATGCGTACTTACCACGACAAATACTAATTCTGATGACTTACTTACTTAAGATAACTTCTTGTAGAAGGACTTTATGAAGTTCATTTACGTGACTCAATATTTTAAAGCTCTCACACACTTTGTAAAACATTTGTGTTGTCAATACAGTTAAGCAAAGAGAAAGGTATGTCACAAACATTCTCACGTTATACTAAGTTTCCTAGATGACATCGTATGCATGGGCGGCGATATTAATTATTGTTGTATTAATAATTTTGCGTATGACCCCTATGAGCAATAATTTTCCAATGTAGGGTCAAACAAAAAAATTATACAAAAGAAATAACGGGCTTTTAATCAATTCATATCTAATTAATAACATTAGATAATAATCAACATTTAATTATTGGTTTTACTAGCAAATATGCGCCCAATCGTATTCATTTGCTTGTACTGTTCGTTTCAAAAAGTTAGAGATATGCCCCCTTCCCTTTATTAGGATGCGCCGTAGCATAATTCCAAATTCAATCATATTTGTCTGCGGAGCTCACTTCTCCATCGATCATCGAGCGAGAACTAGACAAAAGTGTACACTACCATTTGCAAAATTATTTAAACTGCCTCGTTAAAATTTAAGAATATGCTTTATTTGAAAGCATATTTAGCCAAAAATAATAACAAGTGAATTAACTTAACATTCTACACACCTATAAAACTTTTGCTTTGTTTTCTATTGTTAATTTATATACATTTTTGTTTTAAGAAATTGTTAAACATTTTCGTCTAGTACTGTACAGCTCTAGCCGATCTCCTAAGATCGCCCATCGAGAGCTCTACTCGTTCAAGCTCGTTCCAACTATTTCTGTCTTGCTCACGCCTAGTGTGTATTCTTTCTATCTTCGCGCAGATTTCTTCAAGGTTACAATTCTAGCAAATTGAAATGGACTATAGCACTCTTGCTCTTAATGTGGTCTTCTACAGTGGTCCATCGTCTTGTTTTGTAGTCCCTTTTGCATTGCGTAATTGGATGCTGTTAAATTGAATTTTGAATTTTTGAACTTCTTCTCAGATAAAATAGAATAAGACTAACACCAAATACCTTTTTTGATCTCACTCTCTTAGTTTTGGTCTCAGTCCATGACCATGTTATAGTTTTACAACCATAACAGCCTCTTGGTTGTAGTCATGATGTCTTCCAATAGGTACAATATATGAGGTCTGTTCAAAAAGTATCGCGAATTTTTGTTTTTTCAAAAATTATTTATTCAAATACAATTTTAGTACAATTTTCAAATGAAAACTAGTAATTGTCTGATAGTTCTTTAAATAAAAATGAAAAAATGAATTTGTGCTCTGGAGTTTATTTACGGTATTTAGGGTCGCTACGCCTATGCCTTAAAATGGTCGTGTATATTACCTGCTGACAGTTTTCTTTTTCTTTTATACTGTGGTAACACAATATAGCTTATTCTTGCGTTTAATTTTAATAAAACCGCACCAGACGCCTTTCGGCATAGTTGTGGTTGGATCTACTGCGATTACCGTGAAAATCACCAATCTTAAGTTATCTATTTTAATGTCAAGTACAGTAAAACAAATGAGTGGCAAATGCGAACATACCTACGTGTAAACAAAATTTGATATGTGTATATATCCTTTTCATAATGAAACATCATTTCTAGTAATAACAGTATTGTGTACATTTCAACTTTTTTGAAGTGAAACTTGTTTACGCACGGTAGGGTAAGTTCGTTTCATGCGAGTTGCTATGTAACGAAATCATGCAACGCATTTCCCCCGCTGTCTGTCCCTATGTATGCATAGATCTTTAAAACTACTCAACGGATTTTAATGCGGTTTTTTTCTAATAGACAGAGTAATTCAAGAGGAAGGTTTATATGTATAATAAATGCATAATATAGTAGAGAAACACTGATAATTTTAGAGGTTTGTAATGTGATGTCGTAAATAAACACATTTTTTTGCGCTTACATTGCAAACGCTGGCTGAACCCTACGAGATAGATCAAAATAATATACTACAGTATTGTACATCTTAAAAAGGTCTATAAAAAAGTCCGGGATGGTATATGCCTATCTCTTAAGGATAACCCACAATAACCATATTTTATCCTTTACTTTTTACGAGAAATAATGACTTATTTACGAAACGATTTTAAGCAATGCAGCATTAGTCCTTATTCAGTTAAGTACTTTTAAATACATTGTGCATTTAATATAGATCAATATGGCCCTTTACAGCATGTAATTTAAATGAATATTTTCGAAGATATCACAGACTTAAAATGCAGGGACATAGCGGTTGCGGCGGTACCGGCCGG